ATCCCCAATAGGAGTATGCAGGAGGCAGCCTATCTGATGTTTCTCTCTCTCTCTCCCTCTCCCTGAAATCAATAAAAACATATTTGAAAAAACAGAAAAAATAACTAATGTAAATGCATAGGTGACAGTTAAATAGGGGTATCTAGAAGGCACTCAGAGGGGAGGCCTAACATCCCTTTCAGGGTTTGTGGGTTCCTTTGGCAGCTCTGACCCCAGTGTTCCCTTCTCGTCATTGGCATTTATTTATTCATAGGAAGGACCTGCTGACTTGAAACACTTTGACCCAGAGTTCACCCAGGAAGCCGTGTCAAAGTCCATTGGCTGCACTCCCGACACTGTGGCCAGCAGCTCCGGGGCCTCCAGTGCATTCCTGGGATTTTCCTATGTGCCCGAGGATGATGCCGTCTTGGATTGCTAGGAGACAAGTACCTGTGACGCCACTGAAGACAGCTGGTACCTGTAAGGAATTACCTTCAGCTGCTAGGAACAGAGACTCAAAGCACCAATGGCTCAAATAAGACGATTTTTCCCAGCACATAAAGAATTGTGTTAGGTGGTCCAGGCCTGGGACAACAGGTCATCAGATACTCAGAGGCTTTCTGTATTTTGCTCTGCCATCTTTGGCAAATGGCTTCAATATCAGTTGCTACGTTATCATAAGGTGGTTACTGGAGCTCTAGCCATTGCTTTTGTGTTCTGAGTAGGGGAAAAAAAGGAGGGAGGGAGAGAAGAGCAGAAGGACACTTTTACAGAATTTCCCAGAAGCCCCAACCAATGACTTCTGCTCATTAGCCACCCATGCCTACCTGTCATGGAGGCTGGGATATGTGACTTATCACTGGCACATTATCACGCCTAATAACACAGGCTTTTGACACTGAGGAGGGGAAACATTGCGTAGGTAACCAGAAGGCCTCTTGGTATTTAGATTTTGATTTCCAAGTATAAAATGACAGAGATGTGACAAGCCTTTAGGGTATCACCCAACATCCTCTTATTTTCCTGTGTTGATGGTATCTCTTTGTTGTGGGTATTAGACACTTGTTATCAGGCTCGTCTGCTTGGCCTCTGAACCCCTTCCTATATTCAGGGGATCTCCTACTTTGTGAGTCTGGATGAGGGGCCATAACCTCCATTTACAGTAGCTGAGATTCTAGAAAGTGACTTTTGCAGCCTCCCCTGCAGCTAGGGCCAGGCGTGTGGCCCAGGGATACTTGTGCCAGATTTTGACTCAAAGAAGGGACAGGAGCTCTCTTTCATGTGGTAGCTGTGGTAACAGCACCCACAAAGCTGAGTTCCTGGTGTAGAAGTGGCAACACTGTAAATTGGAGCAGTTGGGACTCAGTGGCAGCAGCACCAGTTTCTTCATATCAATCTGAGATGTCATTCCCGTCATTCCTGGGAAGCCTTGAGTCTCGACCTCTAGCTTTTGAATAATCTTGAGAGCTTCTGATCCTCTTGACACCCTCTTTTTTGGCTGAATTGGCCCAAATCAGCTTCAGAACAGCAGCCTATGCCGAACTAGTTTCTGTGCTAGACTCTTTCAAGTCTATTATCCGTTTTTATCCGAACAACCCCAAGGTAGGAACTATCACTGTCCCCTTTTACCAAGGAAGAAGCAGGGTCAGAGTTGTTCCCTACCTGGTCACATAGTTAGTAAGGGTCTGAGCTGGGACTTAGAGCCACATAAGCTGACTCAAGGGCTCCCACGTGTAACCTTTGTGCTCGTCTGCCTCTCGCCGTTAGGTCCAACAGAATGGCCATCAAAACCTCTAGTGAAAACCAAATCTGGAATTAATCAGAAAAAACTAGGTGGTGGGAAATGGGGTGAAGATGAGACATTGAACTGGAGGCTCATGGTCTGAGCCTGGCTGCCAAGTTCATGCTGTGCTCCACCTCCCCTGCCCCTGTACGTTTGGCAGTTCTAAGGCCATGGGGAGCCCAGGCCTTGGACAGGGCTGGAGGCTGGTGCAGAGCTTCCCAGCCACCTATGGAGCTCCATGTATTCAAGATTAGTCATTTCTCAAGGTATTCTGGACAGAACCTGAGCACATAACCTCATGAAGTCAGAACACCCTGCACTTGTAGATGGATCATTGTGCCGGGCCAGCACAGCCAAGGGTTCGGTGAGCCTGGGGGAAGGGGGGGGAGACAGGAAAGGATTTAGAAAAGACAAAGAGAATAAGCTGGGTCTAGGTGGATCTCCTGTGACCGGCTGAGGTCACAGAAGAGAGATCCAGAGGGCAAGCTGATGCTTTATTTTATAGCCAGAAGTAAACAAGGTAGTGGTCACCATAGTTACAATGTTCTTATGCCTTTCACTTGTTTTGGCAGCACTTGCTGCACCTCCCACAGCCTGTTAGTTTCCCAGATAAGATCTAGGGCAGCGGTTCTCAACCTGTGGGTCGCGACCCCTTTGGGGGTTGAACGACCCTTTCACAGGGGTCGCCTAAGACCATCGGAAAACACATATATAATTATATATTGTTTTTGTGATTAATCACTATGCTTTAATTATGTTCAATTTGTAACAATGAAAATACATCCTGCATATCAGATATTTACATTACGATTCATAACAGTAGCAAAATGACAGTTATGAAGTAGCAACGAAAATAATTTTATGGTTGGGGGTCACCACAACATGAGGAACTGTATTAAAGGGTCGCGGCATTAGGAAGGTTGAGAACCACTGATCTAGGGTGTGTCTTAAGGTCAAGACTAATTATGCTAAGAGGGCTGTGCCCTCTAAGCTGGGACTTGTTTGTGGCTTTGCCAACAGGTCAGTCTGAGGCTTAACCTTATAGCCGCTCCCTACAGATCATGCTGCTTTATTTCAGTGGAAAGGGGTTTCCTTTCCACAAACCTGTGATTCATCACCTCCTTCAGGGTGGTATTATCTTTTTTGGTTTGTGGGAAAGAGAGAGGCTGTCTTAACATCACTGTGTGCTGTGATTTTTATTGCCTTTTCCTCTTAAGTTCCACTCTCTCCCATTTTTCCAGGGCAGTCCCCTGCCCCAGGAACTATAGGGGATGAAGCGGAAGACCATGGAAAACACACCAATGACACTGACACTGGAGACCAAAGCTGGGTCAGCAGAGCTGTTGTCACCCTTTGGCCTGCACTGAGAATTCCAAAAGTCTGATTTGATTCCTATCTTAATAGTGTCTGTTAATTGACAAATGTGGAACATAAGGGAGGGGCCCAAATTCCCCCAACTTCCCAGAGCAAAATTCAAGATTCTAATTGTCCGAAACATGCTGATACTGCCAAACGTACACAATCTGCTATGGATTAGGAAACCCATAATGACTCTCTCTGTTCTAAGACTATAAGATCATAAAAATTTCAGGATAGAAAATAAAAATGAAGAAAAACTATGATATTGACCATGCTATGCCTATGTTTATTGAGCACATTCTGAGTGTTACCTGCATTATCTACAATCCTCACAGTAAGCCAGCACTTAGAAATTAAACTTCCCTTTATAAATAAGGAACATTTGCTCAGAGAGATTAAGCAACTTGCCCAGGGTCACCCAGCTAGTACAAGGCACAGCCAGGAATGAAACTTGGTGGCAGCTGATTCTAAGACCTTTGCTCTTTCCACAACTCCCAACAGTGGGAGAAGCGCTCTGGACAGGTACTCTTGTTCTTCTAGCAAACACTGACTCTACATCAAGCAGAAGGGTACCAACACTCAAGTGGCACCGCCTACTCTCTGGAGAGGAAACACATGAATTCCATTTGTATCCCTCACCGAAGACTGTAGTCACCCAATTTTGCACCAAAATACAGCATCCCCGGGAAGACAATGCCAAATCACCCTCCTCCACTTTTGAACTTGGCAATGACAGTAGTTGTGAAAAGGCAGCACCAGTTTTGTTTTAAGATCCCTACACTCCTACCACTCTGCACAGGCTGAAGATTCTAACAAACATAAATTCAAATAGAAACTGCCCGCAGTCTGCTCTCCCTGGGTTGGCCCGAGAGGCGGTGGCACTGCACCAAGGTCCGCACGTCCAGGGCGCTCCCCTGGGAGCAGGGAGGCCGTTTGCTGGCACCTGCGCTCTCAGGGCGATGGCTCTTTCGCATGAGCAGCTCCTGCCGGAACGCTCTTCCCAGCCCTCGCCTTAATGAGTATCACTCTCCTTTCATATCGCTGCTCATCGGGGGCGCCTTTCGGCTCAGCTCCGGCCCCTCGCAGCTCCCTCAAGACAGTTTATACTTTCACTTTTTTCTAAGATCTGACCAGGTCTAACTCCTCGCTGGGAGATGCCGAGACGGCGGGTTCATCGCCATATCCTGGGTCTGTTACTGTGGTGCTCAAAGTGGCAGAACAAATCAAAGAGAAAGAACGATCTCATGTCACCCTTCTCACCACTAAACGCTCCTCCGGGAAGTCGTCCCTGACCTCCCTGGGAGCCCAAACCCACGCACATCGCGCTGCAAGACCCAGGCCCGGCGCTCCCGGCGACCGGGCG